TCCTTCTGCCATGGTGAGACACAGGTGCCAGGGGTACTCCTCGTCTTCACCCTCGTCCTCTTCAAACCCGACTTGGGGTCGCTTTTGAACACAGGTGCACGTTGGCTGGTTGAGGACGGCATGGACCGATGCCGAATTGCGCAGCATTCCCAGCCATCTTTCCTTTGTGCCACCAAAGCAGCAGCACGAAAACACACTCCAGTGCCAACCTTCTCCGTAGAGAGCTCTGGCCTCGGGCAGGTCCCACAAAAAGGAATCGTAGGGATGCTCCAACGAGGCGAAACGCCCACGGCGCTTGGCCTCAACAAGGCCTCTTAGGGCCCGCTTCGCAATCGCATTCGCCTGCCTCACGGTGACATTCTCATGCTGACGTAACCTGGGAAGGCCCTCTGGATGTTCTCGGTCCCGAAGGCGAGGGAGGCCATAATCCCAACGTCCGTTGTGATCCCAATGGCCCTGTCCTCTCCACTTAGAGAAGCTCACCCTTGTTGGTGACCAATGGGACCACATGAGATCGCCATCGAGCTCGGCCTCCTCCAGGCGCTCCTTATATTCCCCTCATCGGTCCTGAAGTCCCATTGGTCGCCTGGGACGTCGTAGTCGAGGGGGGTTTGCGTCGCGATGCCCTTCAGCCCCATGGCCTTTGACATCGGGTAGCCCTTTCCGGAAAACCTCTCGCCAAAACTCGGGGAGTGCCACCACTTCCTTGAGCACGTCTCTTGGTGGGCTCTCGCACACCGGAGGGAGCACATTCTCAGACCACACCGCCTGGTACACTTGTAGGTCCGCGGCACAGGTTCGGAGAGCTCCTTGTGGCAGTTGCCGCAAAAGTTGAGGTCCTCGATCGGGTCGGGCAGGATAAGGGCCTTATCCTTGAAGGAAGTTGCCACGGAACTTCCGCCCCCGGTCGGCGACGCATCGGTGCAGCTTATCTCCCCTGAGAGCTCAGACGACAGGTCGGTCTCCGCCAGCGGGAGAAGCCCGGTGAAAAGCATCACCTCGTCGATGACCGGCAGAGGGAGTGTGAGGTCCGCCCCGCCCCGTGGCACTTCCAGCGCACCATAGACCTCCTGCAGCACCGAGTACAGGGGGCGCCGAAACGCCGCAGCGAAGGCTGCCTTCCCGGCCCAGTGCCTCAGACCGTGTTCTGGCAGAGTCTGTTGGGAGAGCAAGGCGAGACCCAAGCTGATAAGCTCCACCGTCTTCTCATATGCATGCCGGATGATCTTTTCTCTTCCCAATATCTCTCCTCCTTGGAGGGTTCCGCTGAGAGCTCCTGAGAGCTGCTTCGCCTGATTCCGTGGCAAGCCAAGGGCCTCGCAAGCCTCGATAAACTTCACATGGTTTGGCGAGGGCTGCCCCGACTCCTCTACCGCTATCTCTTTCTTCAAGTGACGGATTTCATCAAAGTTGTCAAGGTAGAGGACGGTCATCGAGGAGCTCGAGGGCAAAGCCTGGTCCATGGTTACATCCCCGTGGGGAGGAATCTTCGCAATCTTGTATGCGATGTGCCGTATGGCGGCCTGGACCAGAGTAACAGCCGAGGTCCACCCCATTGGCACGACACGGAGGGCAGGTCGCAGTTTTTCATGCCGCGACCCTCCAAGAGCGTCTCCCCGGACCTTTTGGGCGAAACTGAAGAAGGGTGCCCATTGGAGCGGCATCCGGAAGAGATTGAACGCCGACTGGAGGTCCTCCGAATCCAGGACCAAATAAGAGTCCTTATCGGCCAAGATTGCCGTGAGCTGCCCGATGTAGGGCAGCTGATCCTGAGCGCCCGGCAAAAGGCGCATGGCGTCATTGGTGGGGCAGAGGATCGAAATGAAGCGCTGTGCCTCAATCACCTGCCCACCTTCATGCTTCACCTTTGCCACGCCCCCGGCACCATTTGTGATGAGGTGCCCCCGCTTATCAACGGGAACATCGGAATCGCTCACTGCCACGAACATTCCTCGGTCGTAACCGGACTTCACAATCTTAAACCATTCCTCTTCAGATGCGCGCACCCGAGACCCTCTATGCCGCTCGGGAAGCTCGGCCTCAGGAAGAAGGTAATCCTCCGGGTGGTCGAGCGCCTCCTGGAGCTCCTCGGGGAGGCAGTCCTTCAAGTCCACCACAGCAGCCGTTCCTTGCCGGGGCCATGCCTTGATGACCTTTGAGAAGCTTAGGTCCTGCATATGGTCAACCGGGTGGCCGTTGTAGTCAAAGGTTCTCGACCGCAGCTTCTTGAGAGCCTGGCTGCTTGACAACAGCCGCTCAGAACGTGCAATCAGGCGGTCCACCTGAGAAGCCACCCTCTTGATGGCCACCTTCTGGTTCTGGTAGAGTGTGGCACCCATCGGGACACAGACTGGCCTGGACCAGCCGGCGCAGTAGACAAAGTCGAGGCACAATACAATGAAGCGGACCCAGTGGAGGTTTGCAGTCGTGATGCCCTCCAGCCCTTCGACCACAGGCCCAGGGTGTATCGGGAGGGTCGCCATGTCGTTCTGGACGGGAGCTGGAAGAGGCGGGCTCGGCGCCCTGAGGCAACTCCTCCGGATTGGCGTACTCCCTGGCAAAGTTTCCCAGCGCCGTCTTGAGCGACATGGCTGCATCAAAAAGAAGCCTGCCAACGGGTCTCACCGCAGGCTCTCGGTCTAGCGCCGCCTTCATCTTCTTTCGCCATTCCTCCATTGGGAGAGCTTGCCCTAGCTTAGCCCAATGAGCTGCCAGGTTCTTCCCCGTGGGGAGGCCCTCATCCTCACTATCCCCCAGGTCGCCCAGGTCAAAGTCCAGGACGTCGTCGAGAACCATTCCCTCGCACAGTTCCTCGGCAAGGGGTCCCAAAAAGGCTGTGGCTCGCTCTTGCTCCTCACCGGCCTCAGCCTTTGCTCGGCCGTGGCCGGCAGCTCCGGTTTCACTCGTGGGGGGCGGCCCCCTTGCCCTTGCCCGGTTTCCCTTTCTTGGAATCCTTCCCTCCTTTTGGATCCCCCTTGTCCGGGCCCTTCGGGTCTCCTCGCGGCTCTGCCTTGCCGCCCCCTTTCGACTGAAGCTTCCTCATCCTTAACTCTCCTGCCCATTCCTTGGAGGCCATCACCGCCTCGTCTCGCCCCAGCAGGCTCGGCCCCTCCGCATCCAGCTCCAGATACTGGGCGCGGTTCCACGACCCGTCGTTCTGAAAGAGCTCGAGCGCCTTCAGGCGCTGGGCTATGACGTCGGCCGCGTACTGGTAGCGTCCTGCTGCGATCTCGTCGAGGGCCATGGCCAGAGTGCGCATCTCGCGGGCCAGCCTCATCACCGGCTGCTTTGTCATCATCACCGTGAGCATCCAGTTTGTTGCGACCGGCGGTGTCCTGCTGCCGCGTGCAGCGGTTGTCATCGGCCCCCCCTCCTTCGCGACCATCACCTGCATCTTTTGCAGAAGTCTGGAAGCCAGGCGCCCCGGACGCTTCAGGGCGTACTCCTGCAGTTGAAGCTGCAGGCTGGTTCCTCCGGACGAGGGGCCCTCCCGAAAAAGCTGGCTGTCATCGGAAGACTCACCAGACTCAGGGCTGACAGTGCCATAGTTCAACTTGGCCCCAGCTCCAAAAGGGCCTCTGTCTTTGGCGGTCTTGGTCTTCGCCTTTTTCTTCTTCTTCTTTTTCTTCTTCTTGTCATCTGACGTGGTGCTTCGGCTCGTTACCGAACTGCTGCTCTTGATCTCCTCTGGATCCCGGGCTGGCTGCCCAAACCATTCTCCTCCGCCGGCTCGGGCTGGAGCGCTCTGAGCTCGCCCTTGGGCGGCAGCGGCCTCGGCTCTCTTCCTCTTTTTCTTCTTCTTCTTCTTGACCTCGGTGTCCTCTCTGTCGGCAGCCTCCCCCTTGGGGGGTAAGCCCTTGGACTTTTCTGCCCCCTTCCTTCGGCCAGGCTTTCCCTGACCAATTTCTTTCTCAAGGTCCGCTAGCCCCTTCAGGGCCTCGTCCCCCTCCGAGGGATCTGGCTGAGGAAGAAGGGCCTCGCCGAACCCCAGCCCGGCTCCAGCTGCACCATCGCCACCCTTGTCCTTCCCCGTGGGGAGATTGGCGAGCCTCTGCAGCTCTTCCTCCACATATTTCTTCGAAGGGCTCGTCTTGAGCCAATCAACCTTCTTTCCAGTCAAGTCGCCGTAGGTCAGGAGACGGAACCTGTCTGTGTGGAAATCCCGACCCCGTCCTCGTCGGCTCTGGCGGCACGCTCGCTGCGAGCTCCGACAAAAGTGAATTTCGAATTGCCAAGCGTCGTTCCGGCCGTCGCCCTTGTCCAGCCACCACTGGAGGTGCTCGTCGCTCACGGCAACAAAAGTTGCCTCGGCCCACAGGCCGCCCTTGGTTCGGTCACTCAGCTTATCTATGCGAGCGAGCACATTCCCTTGGCGGCAGGCTGGAGTCGTAGGCCTGGAATTCGACGTAGTCGCCCTCCGAGAGGGCGATGGAGTCCCAACCATCGGGGTCCGTGGCCGCACTGATCCACGGACCCGGCATCGTGGGCTCGAGCTGGAGGGCTCGAGCCAGAAACTTGCGTGAAACCAGAGTGGTTGTCGTGAAAGGCTCGTGCTACGATCCACTCCGCTGCTCTAGGCACTGGGGGTAATATCAATATTCACATTAAGGAGGGGTGCAAGCTAATGTATTCCTAAAGTCGTGCACCTGGCACTTTCGTGGCATTACACATAGTGATTATTGTACTAGTGGGTGGTGTGGTTTCTAGATTTCAATTGAAAGAACCTATAGAAAACCCAATTGCAATCAGGTTCAGTTATACGTTTCGATCTAATAGATTAAAATAATATTTCCGACCTATAGTTAATATTGCAATGCACCCGATAATGCCCATCCTTTGCAGTCACAAGCCCCGGTCCAAAACCCAAAGTCGGATGCACCGGACCTGGAATCTCCTAGACACCCTAAGCTCCACACACCTTAATCAGCAAATTGAGCCGGCAATTATAAAAAAGTGAAGGGATCGGGGTTCAGGGTGTTAGAGTGTTTATAACCCGGTGCCTCCGGAAGCATATCCGGGGACGGAGCCACGGATGGAGAGCGAGAGCTTGGCGTTGCCTCGATCGTTGCAAAAGAATACATGTACATGACAACATGATTCCGGACATCATGCATCACCATCGTTATATTCCACTTCGTCAGGATTTCTGATCATAACTGCAGTTTAGTGTCACATATGTATAATGAAACACTGTACATTGTACATGTCGACAACAAGGGCATTTTGACCATGACTGGATTCAAGCTGCGACATCAATGTCCTCCGCTGCCTCGGCAGAAAGTACTTCTAGTGCACCGTCCAGGGAGGCATCTGGGTCTCGACCTCAATTTGGGGCCAGTACATGTATGAAGCTACAGTATAATGACACAGCACATGCAGGCTACTCGTTTGGATCTGTTACAAGCAGCCTCCCGACTCATCAGCAGATCGGATGACCTGCTTGAGGACCAACATTTTCTGCGACCTGTCCAGCATCGTCGCATATATAAATTGTAACTGCACAGCAAATCCATGCATGCCACGTTCAATGCGAGCGAGGTTCCGTGCTCCGGGGGACCGTTTTGCCAAAAACAGTCCGTGCATTGCACCCACACGCATCGTCCCTCCCTCCAGGGCAGCCCACTCCTGCAAACACATTTTTTGCGAGAGCAGATCAGATGATGGTCATGATCATGATTCATACACTTTGGTATCCTTCACGGCTTTGGCCTTGGGCTTGGTACCCAGAATACCATATCGCTTGCACAGGAGGATCAACACCTCCTGAAAGGGGAATCTGAAATAACTAGTTACATGTATGTAACTGCACATGTTACACACTGCATTCGAAGACAGTCTGTCCACATGTGTAGATCCAAGTGGAAGCGCCGTTCCGAACAGAGCATAATATTCGCAGAAAAAGTCAAAGTTGTTCTCCAGCTGACAGGGTATTGGCAATTTAAAGCAGCGCTGTCTGAAGAAATATGTTTTCGCCAAGCCGCCATCTCCGAGCTGTCGGGGCCAGTGGCAGCGACGTTCTAAGAAAATCTCGCTCCTCTAACAAAGCTCTCTGGTGTCGCCGAAACTCGCGTCGCTCGAGCATGGCTACCTGATCAGTCTATGTGCTTTACATAATTGCCCAGATGATCTTGTTTTGGGAACTGCTGCAAACAAGTATGTGGCCTGGGCCTCAATCAAAGCTGCCATGGCAGCCAAATATCGGCACTAACTGGTCAACTCTAGACCACGATCAAAATTCTCGGTAGATCATACATCCGATCCCAGCACAGACTCAATTGAGAAACTATGCAGCATATTTCAAAGCATGCACACACAGCGAGCAGCGAGGGGGGATGCACCTTTGCTTTCCCATGCTGGGTCACTTGTTGCAGTATCGAGATCTTCACCACCATCACGGTTTGGAGACCGCGATCGTCTCTCTGGCAGCTCCTGCCGATGACCTGCAGAAAGAATCTATACCACCACCCTGAAACACACCACCATGAAACACTCATCGTATACATGCTGGGAACCCTGCGTATTGCTGCTGCAAGACGCATCGGCGCAGTAGGTCGTCACGGCCATGCCGTCGATTCAGACCATGATCAGCATGGATTGGTAAGTATATATGTATTACACCCTAAACCCTAAACTATATAACACCCATAGACTTGCTGATCTGGCCCCTGGACCGGTCCTTGAGTGGCTGGGTGGGCACACCCCGACAAGATCACGATCGATCATGATCTCTCTGATCTGTGCTCAGATGGCTGAGTGGTCGACACCCCAGGAATTCACGAAACATGTCTGCAACCTTCGAATGCTTGCGATCACCCTTGTGAACCAGCAACTCACCGAGTTCTGAGATAATACAACTATCTTTTATGGGCCCTGCTAGATGTTGCTTGGGTTTTTGAGGATAATTCGGCTTTCTGATATCCCTGCTAGATGTTGTTTGTTAATTTGGGGGAGGTATTTAGGGAATTTTCTTGCTCACTCAACGCTGTGTCGATCCACTATATACAGATCTGTACACAGAAACCCTAGTTCCACGAAAGTCTATATATTTGGCATACTTTCGTAGTTGGTCCCCTGGGATTACGCAACGTTAGCACATTTGGCGAACATCCATACGTAGGCAAAATATGCATACATAGCAACGTTGCCCGGAGAGACCTACACGGAGCAGCTGGGGCAGAGAAAGACGTGCGTCGAGATGCTGCCCTCAACTCGACGGGTGCCGGCAAGAAGAACCCAGAATCGTCTAGAGCGGTCAAGCAGCAGCCCAAGACACCGCAAGGACTCGGATGCGTGTCTGCTGTTGCATGCATGTGGTCCTGCCCCGCCTCGGCGCTAGATAGACGTGACAGGAGGGACGGAGCAAGACGGGGATGATGATTTCGGAGGATCTTCTGATGAAGAACCACCGGCAGGCTCATCGAAGGCCGGTTTTGCTGCATGGGTGCATTCTGCGCGGGTGTAGGGTGGGGCTGGGGACCTCTGCCCTGGGCGTACGTCGCCTCATAGTGCAGGGGCTTTTGCGGTCCGCGGCCCGCTTTGGCGTTCTCCTGCTCAATCGCCCGGCGTTGGACCTGGTGTAAGGTGGCGTGAGGGGGCCCGAAGTCGAGGCCGCAGGAGGGGCGCCCTCTTGACGGGCGGGACCACCTGAACGCGGCGTTGCCGGGGATGAGGCGACAGCCGTCACGACGTCCGGGTCGAGCAAAGGAGGCGGGGCGGCTTTGACGAAAGGCTTGGGCGCTGCCACCTGCTCAACCAGCTCCGGAGGAGGCGCCTTCTTTGGCGGCTTGGCGGCGGCCGGAGACGAAGCCACGCCCGAAAGGCGACCAGAAGAAGACGATGCCGTAGGCGGGGGAGTCGACGGCAGCGGTGGGGGCGGCGCGAGCCCCTGATGCTTGGGCCACCGGACCGTGGCACCCGCCGGGCAAAACGTTTTGAAGGGCATTGGCAAGGTCGTCAATGCGCCAGTCCCGGACTGGACGTCGTCGTGCTCCTTCCAATACACTGCCCGGCCTCAGTGGCGGAAGGGTCACGATGCCCCGGGCGGGGCCAGCCAAGCTTCCACAGGCATACCAGAACATGCCAAAGGGGCCGGCGAGGGGGGCGTGGTAGCCGGCAACGTCGAGTTCGCTGGCGGCAAAGTCCCCCATTAAGAAGGCGGCGAGGACAAAGGCGGTGTCGGGGGCCGCCGAACAGGCCGCGATGAGGCGGGTAAGCTCGCCCGCCGATAGGGCGCTGACCGCTGCGGCGAGCTCATCGTCCATCGCCTCGGAGACGAAGTTGGAAATGAAGACGTGGGCCTCCGTCTGAGTGCCGACGTCTATATGCCCCCAGAGGCGGGCAGAGTGCCCGGCGTGACAGGCGTAATGAAGCCAGGCGTCGGCAAAATCACCTCCTCTTCCTCCTCGCCCGAATGGGCGGCGTCCAATGCCCCAGCCCCACCAGATGCCGTAGGCGCCGAGGTCGTCGTAGGACCAGGCAGCGCCCAGTCCAAGCCAGCCGCCGCGGCGAAGTCAGCCACGGCCTGGGCCTCGGCAGCCGCCCGGGCGGCGGCGGCATCAAAGGCGGGGGCGGCGGAACCAGTCGACATGACCAGAACGACGAGAGGCGAAAGGACAGGAGGAAAGCGAAAAGGCGATCGAGCCGGCAAGCTGCGGCCGATCGCTGACGCTTGTTCCTACACGCACACGTACGTTACACCACACCCACTAACTAAGTAGGACCGTTGAGGACGGCGGCTTGTTTCCATGCCCAATCATCGCATGCATAAAGCGAAGTTCTCATAGAGAGAGAGAGAGAGAGAGAGAGAGTCAGTCAGTCAGTCAGTCAGTCAGTCAGTCAGTCAGTCAGTCAGTCAGTCAGTCAGTCAGTCAGTCAGTCAGTCAGTCAGTCAGTCAGAGAGGCGATAACGAACGAGCACACAGATTCGCGCACACATACAAACAAACCGACAGACACGTGCACACACAAACATCGCAGAGTACATAACCCTGACTCATGCCTGCTCGCACTTGGTCTCCACTCAAACAGACTTTCTCGCTTGCTGACCGAGGTAGGCGCCCCCGGCTCGAGGTAATTGCTCACGAGCCTGGTCTCAGAACTTGAAGGTTTGGGTCAGCGGGTAGTAGTGGTCCCAGGAGAGTCTTTGGCAGCCGTTTCAAGATATGGGGCTGAATGGTCTCATGACGTCTGCCTTTGAGGTGAGTTGCCTCCAGCTGAGTGGATTTGCTAACAAATTTCTCGAATTCGCCGAGTAAATGACCAAACCTGCCGCAAACTGGAATCTAGAGATTCTCTCCTCCGTTGTAGGCAACAGAAAGCCTCAGGATCCCGTGGACAGCAACTTCTGAGTTCTCGGCGTTGGCATCCCAATGCCGAGATTGACGTACATGCCGTCCGACAGCTCTTTGGCTGCTCGCCTTACATACTTTGCATTAACATGGTGTCCGTTCGAAGCAGAGAAAAGCTCGAACCAACTGCAAGGCTGGATGCACAACGGTTGTTCTCGCACTTCACATCGACGAGTCTGTACAGCACACCTCTCATCACTCTAATCTTGCTCCTGGCCTGATGATGAGCTCTCTCCGCTTGTCTACCTGCAGCAGACAAAATGCCAGTGGTATCTGATTTCAGTATGCATCTGCTCCAAACAGTCATGGACAGTCAGTAAGAGCGGGATGATGATGAAGCTGCCGAGACCACCGCACAATGCTCCATGACAAACGGCCTCACATGGACTCGGAGTACATATGGGTGGTGGGGCTGTCCAGCGCCCGGAGAACTCCAAACCCAAAATGCCCGACAGAAAGACCCGACTCTGACCGGAGGGATGTCGCGATGTGTTGAAGCAGTGAACAGGCTTCGCAGCCATCTGACGAGCACCATTGGTGGGAATGGCAGGTTTCCCGCTAGGCAGGCCTTGATCTCGCCTCCGGAGGAGATCGTTCTCTTCTCTATCCGCTTCTGGTAGCCCTGCACGTAGATCTTTTATGAGTTGTGGCTGTCAACGTGTGGTTGCGCATCGAAGTATAAAAGTAGTTCTAACAAATTCAGGTGCATGAACCCCTCTCACACCCACAGAAAAGGCATGCTGTGGAGGCATAGGCTGCAGCAACGACTACAGAGCCGTGAACAAACAACTGTTCATTCGCCAGATTATTTCAGACACGGGCTTCAGCTAGGGTTCCACTGTGGCAGACTATGCAAATAACGGCCGTGCGCCGCACGCTGAATTTATGGAAGTGAAATGACGTTTCGAAGAGTCGCTCCTGGCCCTGCACTACTCGGTGCACATAGATGCCAGGGAGGTGAATCTCCTGAGAACGCTCTGGACATCGCGTCAGGGCTGCCATGAATTACTGTACACTCCGTGAGCCAGCTGTTACCGGTGTTGCAGAGAGGCGTAGACTGCAGCACCTACTCCTGAAGCTGCACACTGTCCGGTGTCCTCAGGGCTAAGGGCACCCACAGGCACGATCTCCTCCACCTCGGCAATGCAGACCTGTCCGGCCGTGTATGGTTGAAGGCCGGCTCCACACCAAGCTTTCAACTGGATGCAGATCCTAGCTTATGCTATAGAAATTACAGATCTGGCCCGCCTCTGCCAAAACACCGAACACCCTGGCCAAAACAAACTGTTTTCTATCTACTCCACCCATCTCGGCCTTGCCCGCTCGGGCGCAGTCTGGATTGAAATTCCTCGGCCAGAGACGAAGCTTGGAGGGACTTGCTGGACAGGCTTTGCCACACATATGGGACATATTATGTCTGACTTCCTGACGCATCTGCCCGAATTCTTGTCCCAGACGTTCTGATCATGGGGCCTCCTTGACCTACGACATCTGTCCTGGCCGGAGTGATGGTGATGGGTTGGTCTTGTACATGCCTACAGACTTTTTTCTGGATACTCAGTTCAAGACGCCTGCTGACCTTCTCAGCCTCTGTGCGCGGTGTTTATGCCGGGAGTCATCCCGTCCCTTCCCCCATC